CTGTGCTGTTTACCACTGTATCTTCCCATCAGCATCTCTGAATTTTCCATGTGTCATTCATTTCTCATAGAGCAAGTACTCTTGTTACATTCGTATCCTTCAAACTACGTAGCCATTCCCCAATTAATGGTGATCTACCATGTTTCTGGTTCTTTGCCAACACAAAAAGTGTTACAATGAAGATTTTGGTTTATGTGGGACTTTGCTGTCTTTCATCTCTTAGGGTTATATTCACTTACCCTAAGTAATTTATCATTTTTCCCCGTCTCCATCTTTGTCTCTTTCCCTCTCTTGTCCTTCCCTCCCCTCTCTCTCTCTCTCTCTCTCCCTCCCTCCCTCCTTCCTTCTTTGCTTCTTCCTCCCTCTCTCCTTTCCTTTCTTCTTTCTTTCCTTCCTTCATCTGTGTAGGTAAAGTCCTATAAGTAAAATACTGGTGTGATGTGCCTCCATTGTAGTATTTGTAGCTCCTTCTTCCTCTGGTTATAAGAGTCAGATGAGAGCCTGTTTGCAAAGTGTCAGGTAAACTTAGAATCACAGTATAAATGTCAGTTATTATTGTTGTTATTATTGGGTTTTTCTAAGAAGCAGATGTTCTTTTCAGCCTTAGATCTGTGATCTAAGATCATATCTTCTTACCTGAACATGCAGCAACAAAATAATGAGCTGGAGAGATGAGGGAAGGAAATCTTTGAGAATGTTCACCAAAAAGTCTATTTTTTTTCCTTACTGCCTTCCATTTTATGCCAAAAATTGCTTAATTTACTATATATACCTTAAGATCCCAGTTGCTATAAATTTAATTTATATTATATATTATATATTACATGTATATAATTATATCTCTATGTAAATAATTTATATCATATATACAAATCCCCTTAATAAAAGGATTTGTTCTGTAAAACTTAGACTCAGTCCAAAGGCCACATGTGGCCTTGAAGCCACAGATTCCCCACCCCTGGTAAAACATACTGTGCTGTCCATAGCTAATCCTACGTTTACATTTCCTGTTTGGATATTATTGACAGAAAACAGAAGAGGCCAAGTATGAATATGATGTCATGTCCTACATTGGTGCTGTGTATCTGTTGCCTATCTGCAACCTACTGTCTTTAAAAAAAAAAAAAAGGTAGTTTTATGCTGGTTACATGTTTCTTGGCGGTATTTTTTATTTTGTTTTTAATAAGTACTGGTGAACTATAGACAGTAGAATACCATGTTTTGTTTTACTTTGCATAGCAAGTATATTAAACTAGGCAGTTTCCCTGCCTAATGTAGTATTTTAATATAGGGATTAGCAAAAACTAAGGAAATACCTGCTCAATTGAAGTGACTAAAATTTTCAGAATAGTTTGATGTCTTTAATTTCAACAACTTTCATTAATCTGTGATCTTAAATATTAACAGGTTGATATCATTCATATGAGTATTGGAATGTCACCCCTTGTTAACATGCCCGGTCATTTGTGGGGCATTTCTTGGCCATCTGTCCTGCAAAGGGCACAGGTGACTTCCTGTACAGAATAAAGACAACAGGTGGTGAAACCATGAGGGTGTGGATTGCTTTTTAAGCAGGCAGTTCATGATGCCTGATTGGTCTGGGACCTTTGGCAAATGAGGTTTTCTGAGAACTGAAGCTTGTTTTTTTCAAATGCCAAAGCATGTTCATTTGAACCATTTGGGATGGAAAGATTTCTCTAGAATGTTTTTAATACTCCTCTTCTTTCTCAAACAAGCATCGTGGAGTGTAGGGTAGCCTTTCCCTGATGACTCAGCATCATCATCCTTGTGATCATTTCTTCCTGCAGAGTGACCTGGCCAAGCACAAAACCGCTCTGTCTCTTCAGCTGTGGGTTCTCTTCTGTTTCTTTTATCACTGTTAGGCTGCTCTTGTCCACCAGCATCATTGTGCTCTCCATGCCACATCTTCCTTCTGGCCCATTGATTCTGGGAAACCAGATCATCCAGCTGGTGAGATGTGTTGGTTAAGTAAGAGCAGACGGAATCAGAGTGTGGGCTCTTCCTGCAGGATGGCACACATGACTGTATGACAACTCTTCCAGGTATCTCCAAGGCCTCTCCCCTTCCCCCATTTAGTTCCAGTTTAGGCCAGTGGAGGTTAAGTTTTCCCAATTAATTAGGAAGTTAGGAAAAATAGTGGTTTTTAGTTGTAAGTATCCTAACAAAAATGATTTAAATAATAGTGATGTGTAAGCAGTGAACTTAAAAATATTTCTAAAATGTTATAAATTTTTGCAAAGCAAGTGTTTTGGGATCCCACAATTTTATACTCCCCAAACACGAGTTTTTAAATTTTAGCAGTTTTTAGTTGCCTAACATGTCAGGCTGTATCTTAGGAGTATCTTAAGGCATGTGTATTAAATTAGGCAATTCCTGACATAAATTTCTGATAAGGAATTAGATGACAAAATAAGATTTTGATTTGTCTAAATATCTTCATATTTGGATTGGATGTACTCTATACAGGGTAACTAGGGTGGCTAAGTGGACAGAGTGCCAGATCTGGAGTCAGGGAGACTTCTTGAATTCATTGTATGATCTTGGGCAAGTCACTTTACTCTATTTGCCTCAGTTTCCTCATCTGTAAAATGAGCTGAAGAAGGAAATGACAAACTACTTCAGTATCTTTGCCAAGAAAACCCCAAATAGGGTCACAAAGACTTGGACACAGCTGAGAAACAACTCAACAAAATACTATGTACAATTGTGCAGAGAGGCTTTTTAAGGATAACTTATCACAGTGGGGAGAGGGAGACAGGTGAGGATGAAGGCAAATGACCCCTCCCATGGGGTCCGAGCAGTTTCAGCTGGTTCCTGTTCATAGAAGGAGAAGGAGTTCAGGAGCTGCCAGTGTGGGATGTGAATTCTGCAGGTTGGTTCCCACGGGATCACAGGAGAGTCATACCTCTCTGCCAGCTCCTGTGTGTTAACCCCATGGTGCCACGTGTTTCTGGCATGAGGAGATTCCAAGGGAGAACATAACTGAGAAACAGGTCTGGCAGAATTAGTCACCATCGAAAAGTCACTATTGTGGGGAGAAAAAGGGTGCCAGACTGTGATTTCACTGGCATAGAGAACTCCCTCCAGTGCAGGTCAGCAGCTCTCCTAGAGAGCCGTCCAGTGGCCTGAGAGTGACTCCCCTAGGTGGGGCCAGCCCATGGGCTTCAGAGGCTGGACTTGAACCTGGAACTTTCTGGCTTGGAGGCTGAGGCTCCATGCACCATGTCACGATGCCTCTCTGTTGTGGGAAAGTAAGAATAGAAAGACTAGTTTGCACTAGGTTTTACACCTGAATATATAGAGGTGGCACAATGGATAGAGCACACACAGGACCTGGAGTCAGGAAATCCCGAGTTCAGTCCAGCCACAGGCACTGCCTGGCTGAGTGACCCTGGGCAAGTCACTTCACCTCTGTCTGCCTCAGTTTCCTCCACTGTAAAATGGGTATGGGAAGAACACCTCCCTCCCAGAATTGTTGTGAGGAACACACATTCATTGTGTATTGTTGTGAGATTTTGCAGACCTTGAAGTACTATAGAAACACAAATTCTTCTTGTTGTTGTCGTTATTGTAGTAAAAACTGAACAAAGCTCTGTGATTGTTTAAACGTCCTGTGAGATTCTTCCTTGGCTCCTTGTGCACTGTGTCCAAACTCAGAGCTCTTAAAATGCTTCTAAAATAGGATATCAATGAAGTGTTGACTTGATGTTTCACAGTCACAGCTTTAGTATGTTCTAAACAAGAAACATAAATTTTGCTTATTTGGGGGATGATATTAATGATGACGATGAAAGGAAACGTACACAAATGATGATTGTTATCATTTTAGGTCACTGTATTCCTTTTTCATATTCCAATTTCCAAACTGTGAAAATGTTCTCAATCGTTTATCTGTGGGTCACAGAACTGAGCAGCAGTAAGCTGGTTGCCTCTTGGTCTGTTTGTTGTGAAGTGAGTCTGATTTAGTTTTGAGGCCAGTGCATTTCTTTTCTGAATTAATTTTTTTTTCTGATGTACTTGTTTAACTGATCAAGGAGTAGACATTTGAACTCAAGACTTTCCTGGAAACTGGGGAAAATGTCACATGGGAAAATAAAAATTGAGGGGAAAGGGTTTTTCCTCAGCATTGAAAATTTGCTGTTTATGTCAATAAAGGTGCTAGGTACATACAACAAAATTCCATTTTTATGTGATACTTAAACAGAAACCGATTTCTGACAGAAAACATTGAAGGTAACTGGTAAAAAAATGTCATCTTTATTATCTTTGTGTAATTGAAATGGAAGTTTTCTATATCTTAATTCATTGATGAGGAGGAATTTGAGCAGACTTATCAGGCTTGATTCAGATATTGTAGCTATTTTTACCCAATACAAAGTATCTAATTCTCAGTTTTTATAGAAAATAAGATTTTACTGAATGACCTGGTGCGAGTCATACGAGATACTCGGACCATAATCACAAGGGGCTTGGGTTATGCCCGTCTTCCATAGGGGACGTGTCTTTGGTAGAGGAGTGGGTGACTCTGAGAAATGCGCTAAAGGGTTGCTAGTAGCTTGAGTGGACCCTTTGCTTGGCCCGTCCTTCCAGTCAAACTCGGATATTAAACACCATACTCCATTACTGAGACGTGTTGGAGAGATTAAGTAAGACACAACCCCTGCTTGGGTGGAACTTACAAACCAGTATATTCAGTACCAGTTTAACAACCAACAAGGTGGCTCTCCAAGGCATGTCTGTAAAGTGAGGGCCTTTTAGAGAAACTCGACAAATTAACAGCCTAGGGAATCCCATGAGTCGGGGGAAAAAGTGTCAATTGTGAGAGTGAAAGTGGTCTCAATGTAAATAGTTTAATTATCTTTTGGTATAAAAGTGTCTTTTAGTATAAAAGAGTTCATGATAGACTTTGTGTGCCATTGCTTTGTATTTCCAGTGAATGAAAATTCCTTCCATTAAATACAGTTTTTATCTTATTTTAGGAGAGATTTGAAGCACTTTTTACAATCTATGATGACCAAGTTACATTTCAGTTATTTAAAAGCTTTAGAAGAGTCAGAATAAATTTCAGCAAACCTGAAGCAGCGGCAAGAGCCCGAATAGAACTCCACGAGACAGACTTCGATGGGAAGAAGCTGAAACTCTATTTTGCACAGGTACTTCAGGGCATGGATTGCACCCGCTGTAAACTTGTCCTTTTCTCTGGTTTGTAGGAGGTACTTTCTGGGGGAGGGAACAAGTATGCATGGAGCTCCTACCATGTGCCAAGCCCTGTGCTAAGTGCTTTACAATTATTAGCTCTCTTGATCCTCACAACCACCCTGGGAGGGAGGTACTGTTCTTATCCCCATTTTACAGATGAGGAAAATGAGTCAGAGAGCAGTTAAGTCACTTGCTAATAAGCATCTGGGGCTGGATTTGAACTTAAGTCTCTCTAATTCTGGGCCCAGCACCCTGTTCACTGCGCCATAGCTGCCTAAGGTCAATTATGTGACTCTTGGCAAAATCCCTTAATCTTTCTAAATTTCCTCACCTGTAAAATGCAGGGCAGGGGCAGGCTCGATGGTTTTTTGAGGTCTCTCCTAACTTCAGATCTGTGACCTGATGAAAGAGCATCAGATGAGGAGTACAGAGGCCTGGGGGTGGTTGCCAGCCCTGCTGCTGACCAGCTGTGTGACCTTGAAGAAGCCCTCCCTGGGGGCCTCATCTTCTCTATATAGAGAGTGAAGAAAGTAGACCAGCTGATCTGAGGTCCCTTCCACCTTCACCAGTGTGTGTATCTAGGAACAGAAGATGGGAGCTCGAACCCCATCTCTGCCATTTGCTAATGACCTTGGACAAGTCATTTGCCTCATCTGTAATATAAGGGGATTTGTGGAGATGCCCCCTCAGGCCTACTCTGTGTTGCAGTGGCAGCGAATAAAAGGGAGGAGACAATTTAGAATTTAAACATTGCTGAGGCGAGTGTACCTGTAAGCTAACTCAGAACTGGCTAGACATAGTGTCCTAACCTCTCCATTGGTGTCCTTTTCCTTTTAGCTAGAATCACTTAGGAGGAACTGGTTGAAAATGAGCCCTGGATCTCTTCCTTTTCTCTTTCATGATTTGAATATATTTAAATTTCTTTCTTTTCACGTGTTAGATATTTTTTCCTGTGTGATTAGAATGTTATGTGCCCCACTGAGACTTTCTGACTGGTTCCCATCTTCCTGAGCAGAGGACCTAATAAAATAGACTTAGTTACGTTCATTTATGTCCAGCCATGTCTGAGATGAAGGAGAAAACAAAATGGCCGAGGCCCATCACCTCACGCACTTCGTGGATAACCTTTAGTATTACTGTAATGCTGTAGTAGAGAGTTTTCCATTTTCCTTCTATTAGTGATGTGGGGATTTAATGTCCTGATTGGGCATTACTGATAAGAAAGCCTGGGAATCCCAGTTGACCAAGTCATTCTTTGCTTGTCCAGGTCCAGATGACTAGCGAGCCAGGAGACAAAGCGTATCTGCTCCCCCCGCAGCCCGTCAAGCAGTTCCTGATCTCCCCGCCGGCCTCTCCTCCTGTGGGGTGGAAGCAGGGTGAAGACGCAATGCCCGTCATAAACTACGACTTACTTTGTGCTGTTTCCAAGCTGGGTCCTGGTAAGGACCTCTTTCTTACATGAGTTTGGTGGGCTTTTTTGCAGCTGTTGCATTGAGGGCCGTGCCCAATGTGTGGGCTGTGTGTGGCATGAGGTAGCTATGGAAGTTGTTTGTTATATTGCCTGGTTCACTTTCTGTACGTCTTTCTGGTCTCTTCCTCTGCCTCCTCCATCCTCCCTTCACAAGAGCAGAAGAAATGCCATGTAAGCTGAGTTGGGGCAGCTAGGTGGCATAGTGGATAGAGCACCAGCCCTAGAGTTCAAATCTGGCCTCAGACAACTTGACATTTACTAGCTGCGTGACCTTGGGCAAATAGCTTAACTCCAGTTGCCTCTCAAAAAAAAAAAAAAAGATCTGATTCATGGGTGATGATGTGGATATTTGCTGTGGATATTTTGTAGGGAAGTGCAGCTAGCCTGCCATAAGGTTGGATTCAGAGGAGAGGGAGGGCTGTACCTTGACAGCCCCAACCTCTCTTTATTAGCGTAAGGGCTCTAACCTGGGGTCAGTTTTCTTTGGGCATTTTGAGGACTGAATTTCAATAGCATCAGTCTCGTTTGTTCTCTGATGCCTTAAAATCCTTACTCAGAGAACGATTCCATGGGCTTCACCAGACTAACTGCCCAAGGAAGGGCTTTGCCAGGATGGAAGCAAGGTGAAGAGTTACTGCTTTGGTAAATGGGGGCTCACCCTGTCTGGGCCTTCTGGGTCATCAGACAGAGAGGCCACCTCTCTTGTTTGACGCAGAAGCAGAGGAAAGCCCAGAGTGGGGAGGTGCTTTGTGAGCCTGGCTTCTCAGTTCCTAGTACATGGAGCAGCCCCCTTTCTTCCAGACCCTCTGTCAGTACACGGAGCTTTGTAGCCCTGTGAAAGAGGAGCCTCCAGTGCGTGATCTGTTGAGGGAGAAACTAAGATGCAGCCAGTTGGGTCAGTCAGACAGTTGGGTTGGCCAAGTTGCCATTGACTCTTCAGAGTCCTCATTTCAACACCTCTCATCCCAGCTCTGATCAGTCCCCTTTTCCCCACCTCTTCACCACACAATCAACTAGAATTTGGGAGAGCTTTTTGGTTACTGACCCGACTTACAAGTCAGCAGAGGCTTGAGCTGAACATCAAGCAGCCTTTCCTAGAGCTCCACAGACTCTCAGGAGCACAGAGATCTCATTAAGCCCACCCACATTTATCTGTTTCTACTTTCTTTTGTACCCCACAGTGTAAAGGGGAAAGCACAGGATTAGGAGTTAAGAAGAGGAAGCTAGGTGGCACAGTGGATAGTGCTGGGCCTGGAGGCAAGAAGACCTGAGTTCAAATCCAGCCTCAGACATTTGCTGGCTGTGTGACCCTGGGCAAGTCACTTAACCCTGTTTGCCTTAATCCACTGGAGAAGGAAATGGCAAACCACTGCAGTGTCTTTGCCAAGAAGACCCCATGGACGGTATGGTCCACAGAGTCACAAAGAGGCGGCCATGACTGAACGACTGAGCAAACAAGTTAAGAAACTTGGCTTTTAGTCTCCACTCTGCCTCTAGTGAGCTGTGTGACCTTGGACAGCTAACTTTTTCTCTGAGACTCAGTTTCGTCATGTGGCGGAAGACTAGTTTGGACTAAAGGTCCTTTAAGGACTCTTCCATTAATGTCCCCATGCAGTCTAACATTTTATGATTCTCTTGTTAAATGATCATCCTGCCTGTGCCCACTTCAGTAACATCAGACAGGGTAAAGTGGGCAGCGTGCGAGGCGTCTCTCCACTGGCAAGTCCCTTAACCTTGGGGAGCTCAGTTACCTTGTCTGAGCGCTGAGCTCACACTGGGCTCCACCTCCTCACTACCCCAGGATCTCAAAACAGTTGCATGTAAATGAACTGGGAGGTAAGCTTTAACCATTCTGTAGTCTTCAGAGACACCCAATTTTTTTCTTTAAAGAAATTAATTTTTAGGGGCAGCTAGGTGGCACAGTGGATAGAGCTCCAGCCTTGCAGTCAGGTCCCTGAGTTCAAATCTGGGCTCAGACACTTGACACTTACTAACTGTGTGATCCTAGGCAAGTCACTTTAATCCCATTGCCTAGTCAAAAAAAAGCAAAAAAAAAAAATTTTTATTTTTATTCACATATTTTAGTTTTTACTCTAAATTTCCTCCTATATCTCTCCTCCAGAGAGTTGTCCCGTATAACAAACAAACAAAAAAAAATCCCTAAAGAGGGAAAGAAGAGAGAAAAAAAATTCAGCACAACCAATCAGTCCATAAAAAAGCTGGCATTTGCAGATTCCGCTCTGCCCTAGGGAGGAGTGGATGAGCGCCCCCTTGGAGCTATTCTTTGGGGTCCAGCATGCCCTTTGTAGTTCTGCAGCCTTCGTTTTCCGTTGGTTTTTGGTGGTTCTCTCTGTTTACATCATTGGAGTCCTGTGTATGTTGTGTTCTTGGCTCCGATGACTTCACTTTGCATCAGCTCACATGTGGCTGTCTGTGCTTTTCTGTAGCCAGCGTATTTGTGGTGCCTTACTGCACAGGCTTCATATTCCCTCACATTCATGTGCCACGGTTTATCCGGCCATTTTCAGTGGGCATCTGCTTTGTTTCCTTCTTCTCCACCCCCCAGAGTGCAGCTACAAGTATTTTGGGGTATTCTACGGAACCCTTTATCAGTGCAGAGAGGTCGAGTTTAATGGTCTGTGTCCCTGATGCCTGTGTTTCTGTATGTTCATATTTTATCCGTTTTTATTTAAAAAAACCCTTTAAACAATCAGATTATTCGTATATAAAAGAGGCCTTGCCTTGCACCCTCTACAAGATGGGCCACCCTTCATTTCGGTCTCTGTTGCGGTCAGACCGACCCCACACAGCCTCTCTGAAAACTGTTCCACACACGGATGGTCACAGTTTTTATTAAGCCTCCTCCTTCCAGGCCCCAGACGGGTCACCTTTGAAAGAGCCACTCTTTACCAGTCGGTTTAATTCCTTCCTTTCCCTGCCCCGTGAGCCCCGGCCAGGGCCTCAAGTGCGTCCCCGCCCCTCTTTCATAGACTCACCGGCTGTCCCAGCGTCTCATGCCCAGGGGGAGGCTCAGGGGGTCGGCTTTCATTCTCTGCCGCACCTCAACAGCCGAGTGTTTTGTCTTCAAGGAACCAACTGCCCGGGTCTTGATTTTTGTTCCTTCTGCAGGAGAGAAATACGAGCTTCACGCCGGGACGGAGTCCACCCCGAGCGTGGTTGTTCACGTCTGTGAGAGCGAGACGGAGGAGGAGGAAGAAACAAAGAATCCCAAACAGAAAATCACCCCGACCCGGCGTCCCGAAGCGCCTTCGACGGCCCGAAGCGACCCCCCGGCTTTCGGCTGTGCGCTGTGAAGGCAGCGGCGCCAGGAGGGACCTCACATGGTCGTGGTCACGAAGAGCAGCTTCCTGCCCCCTGCTGCTGGCCCGGGTCAGTCAGAGTGTCAGGGGACGGACCTGCTGTGCTCAGCAGTCCTGTGCTGTTCTGAAAGTCGTGTCCAAGGTGACAGCAGATTTCACTGGTGATTGTCTTTCATGTTCAGAATTTTAGATGATATTCTCAACAGCACTTTAATTTAAAGGATAGTACTGCCCCCCAGTGTAGCATCTCTGACATATTTTACTAGTGGAAAATTAGGAAGGTGGTTTTATTTTTTCCAGCAATGTTAACTTCTCTAATATCATGTAGCATGGGGTACCAAAAACTGGAACTATATTCACCAGTACAGTACCATTTTATGGATTTAAAAATATAGTCTCTAGTGTAACAGTTCAGCGTGGGTATTTTTGTACTGATATACTAGCTTCTAATTAATATATTGATCAAATGTTAATGCTATTCAGTATATACTAACATTTTTGCACGGCTAGAAGTCTAATGTCTAGGAGAATTAATAGAAAATGAATCGGCCCATTTCAAAGTATTTTTTCTTCAACTTTTTGGAAAGAAATGCCGAATTCACCTTGATTGATGAAAACTTTGGCATCTTTCCATGTGCATACTGTAGTTCTCTACCCTTAACAGAAAGTCTGGAGGGAAGAGATACACAGAACCCCCTTCCTGAAGCCTATGCCTTCTTAGAGGCTAGCTCCCTGCGGGACACCTTGCCAGTAGGCATGATTGACTGTGGTGTCAGATGGCTAATCATAGATTGCCATTTGCAACTAACCGTGTTCCTGTCTAGAGTAAAAACATGTTTTTAGCCGTTCAGTGTTAGTCTATTAACTTCTCTACTGTTGTTCCACTGGTCCTTGAGGGTGTTTGTTTTGTTACGTGTGTTTGGTTATGTCTGTCCCATAATCCAGAGAAAAAGAGATGATCGATTTTCTGAAGGTGGCTTGTAATTTGAAAATAAGTCTATATGCGCTCAGTTTTCTGTTTCTAAGAGTGGTGGGGTAGAAAGAAATTGGTTGACTCATCACATTTGCTTTGGGGATGAAGCGTGCCTGCTTGTGTTCACTAAAGCACAGGACGGCTTGTCCATTGTGCACAGGATCCTTCTGAGAGGGAAAGCACCTTTAAAAGTGCCCCTCAGTGGGCTCCAGATATTTCTGGTACCTGTTCTAATGACAGCAAGGTAGATTTCTGTGGGCTTATGTTTCACTGCAGATACTTTGTTTTTTAATCTTCCAAATGTCCCTGGTCCTTCCACATTCTGAAATCTTCCTAGTTACATGGACACACACACACACACACACACACACACACACATACTTATACATATATTCACATATCTGCTTCTGGAATCTATCACTGATAAATTCTAATGTAAATTTAGTAGAAGAATGATTAATCAGCGACTTCTTCAGTTCTGATCAGCATTTGGCAGCTTATTTGACAACCACTTAATGAGTTCACTTCATAAATCTGAATTCAGGACTGCCAGTTATCTTCTTGCCCAGCTGGCCCCAGGTTAGAGCTGCAGAATGAGTCCTCTCAGTAAGGAAACGGCTCGAGAACACATTCAGGCTCCTCACAAGGAGCCGTGGTCTGTCATGACTTTCCCAGCAGCCACAATCCACGAATTTTCATTCCACTCCCTCTTCACCTGCCAGTTAGGACTCATCCCATCAGTGAGACAGGAAGCTCTTTGAAGGAGGCAGCCAAGCTGCCTCCTTCCCCCCTTTTTTTGAGAATGTTGGATGAGTTGAAAAATCTTTTTAGAGAGTGAATTCTTTTTAAACAAACTACCAATAAAGCTTTGAGGAAAGGAGTCAGCTTGGCCCACACTTGGAAAGGACATTGGGCAGAGAATCCAAATGCTGAATCCTGGTCCCATCACAGAGATCCATTGTGTCACCTGAGGCAAATGTTGCTTCCTGAGGCCTCTTATTTCCTCATCTATAAAATGAAGGGTGTCTAGCTAAAGCTCTCGAAGGCCTCTCCCAATGCTGGCATTCTGTGTTTTTTGTGAGGGTGGCACATGGACAATTCCAGTGCCCAGTTTTCACCAGGTGAATGTTTAAGTAAAAATTATCCACACCTTTTGGTTTTTCATTATTAGAATCACTTTGGAACCTGATGGGTCTTGTAGCTTCTGCCTTTGGGGCAATTAGGCATCCTGCTCACTTAACTATCTTGAAGAATGAAGAACTCTCCTATGTACCACTTTTTTCTTTTACCAAATTCTTGCAGTGTTTTTGCTATTGAAATTGTATTGTTGTAAACCAAGTTAACATTTGTACCCAAGTCTGAATAACTGTAATGGCCATGTTTTCTCTGGAGTTTATAACCTTTATTTGAGCAAGCAGCTCATTTAGAGCATTTTGGGAAAGCAAAAGGTGCCTTGTGTTAGGGGGAGAGGGGAGGAGAGAGGGAAGATGATTGATGTGAATACAAAGACTAGAGTGGTCAAGAAGGAAGCTGCCCTTTCTGCCCCCTTTGGTTCATTCCATGGGCGACAAAGACTCTCTCCTGGCGTGGCGGATTCAGTTGAGGAGGACAAGAGCTTCTGTAGGGCTTCTGAGAAAAGGGTGAATAACCTTGTGAATGAGAATTGTGGGTGTTGAAGGAGTGTGTTCATGGAGACAGTAGAGGTTTTACAGGACCCAGAGGCCTCATGTCCCTTTGTACTCCAGGGATTTGCCTTTGCTTCCCTGAAGGCGAGCTCATGCCAGTTGTGCCATAGAGACAGAATGCCCACAGAACCTCAGAACTGCTGCTTAGCACCGAGGATGCATTCCAGAAAGCAGGGCACAAAATTACCTAATTTCTTCCAAAGAGTACTTGAAATTTCCCCTGTATAAAGCACCACAAGAGGAAAAAATGAAACCTGGTACTCTTGAGACCACTGAAGGACTATGTGAGAACTCCCTCTGCAACCCCAGAGAGAAGTCAGTTTGCAGGTGCAGTCTTCTCCGTCCTTGGCTATTGTGTTTTTAAATCATAAACCAGCACTGATGCTTTGTGGGTTTTTTAATGTTCTAATTCAGTCCAATGGAGCATAATGGGAGTCTGTTTAAATATTGTCATCTCAGTAGTCAGCCACTCCAGCAGGATGCATTGGTCTTTTCAGAAAAAAATTGTAGTGAGATTTTAAGGTAAATGTTATGCTTAAAACCTGTGTCTAATGTGATAGAATAAGACCCTGAAACCATTTGGAAGTCTCTCCAGCGCATATCTTACAGCAGACTGAGACTTCAACTTCATGCTTTGGAGGGGAAGGAGAAGGATGACTTGGGGGTGAAGCCTCACTTTAAAGGGGAACCGTGATGGATGATAAAGCAAGAGCCCATTTGGGATTGAGTATGTGTTTGAGGCTGCCCAGCATCCCTTGGCCTTGTTAGATTGTGGCTTTACTGACAAAGGAGAGTTACCAGCATACAAAAGCAGGAGGAAATCTAACATCCCCCATGATCTCCCGGTGCTGTTGTTCAGTTTGCTTTTCTTTCTTCTCTAGAGTTGTGCTCCTTATGTTGTATGACATGAATTAAACTTCTATAAACCACTTTTTTTTCCTGCTTTGTATAGCCCCACCTTCTGGGAGCACATTTTGCATTTAATTTTCTAGTACTGAAAATCCAAATTTACATTGACCATGACAAGGGAAGGGAATGGAAGTTTGGGCAGCCATTTGCTTCTTATCTAGAGAAGTCTGTCTGTGTAATAATAAACATTCACCAAGTATTCATTGAATGAATGAAAATAAGACTTTCAGATTTGGCCCAGTGTTTGAATATGTTGACTCAATAGCATAACTCCCTTTTTCTGCATGATGTTTGCAACATGCATTAGGCACTTTCTGCAGGGAGAACCATTGTTTTGCTTATTGAAAACATGTTTTAGATGCCCAGGAGGCCTTTGTTATAACTGGCATACATTAAAGCCAACTGAAAAACAGTAATCATTAGACTGATTGATCAAAAAGGTTATTAGCACCAATATCATTTGGAGTCAAAACTGTCCCCAGAATTGGAAAGGCCTTTCCTGCTGAGTGAGGGGTCCTCAGATGGTGAAAACTACAACGTTTCCTGACCCTCTGCTGTCTTAAGCCCCTGGAATTTGAGCTCTTCTAGCCCTGCAGCTTTCCTTCTGGAATCAAATGAGATAGTATTTGTAAAGCGCTTAGCACAGTGCCTGGCACACAGTAGGCACTATATAAATGCTTATTTCCTTCTCTCCCCTCTCCTGCTTCTTGAAGCAGAATCATGGGCCCAGGGAGTTCCTGTACTCCTTGGAGGATCTTTTCCCAAATGTACATCCTCATTATGATGAAAGGCCTGCCTGTTCACATGGTGGGGTCTTCCCTATTGTTTTACTCATTTAAAGTCCCCTATGGCCATGATTTGGGAATGAGACAAAGGGTAAATAAAGGCAGTCACCTTGTCATTGTGCCATGTGATTTCTCTGTTACTCTTTCTGCAGTTTTTCAAAACCAGAAAGAGTGTTTACAGGATGTACTGACGTCCATTTCAGCTGCCAGTCCTGTCCTAAGATGGCACCCGTAAGAAGAGAGGCCTCTGTAGACTGTTTTGTCTAACTCCCAGCTCACCCTTTTACACGCGACTGCTCAGACCCCCTGCTTGGTGTGTTGAGTCATTGTTTTCCCTGATTCAGGCTTTGAGTGTGTGTTGTGTTTTAGAGGTCCTCCCTCCCTCTACGATCCTGGGAGGTGTGTCGTATGTCATTAATGTTTCACTGTAGTCAGGCTTGTGCGTTATCAGCAACTGTGGAGTATGCTGTGCTGCAAGGACATACGTGTACCTTGCGCTGTAAAGGTAGCAGAAGCAGAATGTAATCCTTTTGGAAGTTTATTGATTCCTGCCAAGAAATTTTTGTTTTTCAAAACTGTAAGAAATAAAGTTAATTTTTTTAAAATAACACAATGAATTGTTCTTAAGTGGTGATTTCATCATGTGGTCAGTGGTACAAAGGTGATACTGAACTAAGACAGAAAAACAGAGTGAGTGACATGGAGTCCTTTGCCTTAACTCCAGGGTTCTGCCAGAGTTCAAGGCGGGTGGCTTCCTGCTGCACGTGTAATAGAATAAGCCAAAAACAGAAGTCAGGGGTGGGGATGGGGTGCGAATCTGGGAATCTTTATCCAAAAATGCAGCAAACTGTCCCATAAAGCCTTGAATTACCTTTCACCAGTTGTCTTCATCTGGATGACCACTCCTCAGATAGGGTGCCAAGCAGATTCCTGTTTGAGCGAGGCAGCTCTGAGGTTCTTACCACCTCCTCTGAGATTCTGACATTTACTAACAGCTTCGGTATGGACGTAAACTTCCCTGAGCTCACATATCCTCATATACAAAATGGGGATAACAGTATTTACACTATCTGCATCTTAGTGTTCTTCTTTTTGAAAATTTAATATTTTGTTTTTCCCTAATTACATGTAAAAACAATTTTAACATTCTTTTTTTCAAATTTTGAGTTCCACATTCTCTTCCCCCCTCCATTTCCCTCCTCATTGAGAAGGCAAGCAGTTTGACATAGGTTCTACGTGTGTAGTCATACAAAACACATTTCCATGTGTCATGCTGTGAAAGAAAACACAGACCAAAAAAAAAAAAAACCCGCAAGAAAAATAAAGAAGGTAAAGAAAAAGTATCTTCAATCTGCATTCAGGCTCCACCCATTCTTTCTCTGGAGATGGACAGCACCTTTCATCATAAAGTCCTTCATAACTGTTTTGGATCATTGTGTTGCTGAGAATAGCAAAGTTATTCACAGTAGATGATCACACAAAATATTGCTGTTACTGTGTACAATGTTTTCCTGGTTCTGCTGATTCCACTTTGTATCAGTTCATGTAAGCTTTCCAGGTTTTTCTGAAGTCCACCTGCTCATCATTTCTTATAGCACAATAGTATTCCATCACAATCCTATAGCACAACTTGTTCAGTCGTTCTCCAATTGATGAGCATCCCCTCAATTTCCAATTTTTTGCCACCATTTAGTATTGTTCTGAGGATGAAACGGGGTCACATATATAAAATACTATAAATGCAATCTGATGATGATGGTGATGGTGTCAGTTGCTTTAATTCCAGAACTGTTGACTCTTCATGAGGTGGTATTTTTATATCTTCAAGAGAAAAATAGCCAAAGGTACGAATCTTGGTAGGAACTTTAGACCCTGAGATCATAGGGTGTAGAGCTGGAAGGATCTGGTTCAACCCCTTCGTTTTACAGCAAGGGAAACTGAGGCCCACAGAGGTAGGGTGATTTCCCAAAGTTACATAGACAGTAGTAGCTAGGGATGAAATCTAGGACTTTTAATTACAATCTAGGCCTAATTCCACTCAAATCATTTAGTACAACCTCTATATCTTACAAATTGGAAAACTGAGTTCCAGAGGGGTATTATCACTTGTTCAAGGTCATACAGCTACTTCGTGGCAGATAGAGAATTAGGACAGAGGTTTCCTGACTGTTAATCCAGGGTTCTGTTCACTTCGTTTTTGTGTTAAAATGGGATCTTTAATTTTTAAGGAACTGTTTAATTGATTTAGCCAAAAAAAAAAATTCTATTTGTAATGGAAAAGAAAGAACCAACTAAAATGTATAGTCAGCTAGGTGCCCCATTACCTTTATGCTCAAAGTCACAATAAATAGGAACATAAGAAAAAAGAATGAGTGATAATGGATAGGTGATGCCTTCACATTTGCAAAACTCTTTACATATATTTAGGGCAGATAGATGGCACCATAGTGCATAGAGTGACAGGCCTGGGGTCAGGAGGACTCATCTTCTTGAGTTCAAATGCTGCCTCAGGCACTTACTTAGCTGTGTGACCCTGGGCAAGTCACTCTACCCTCTTTGGCTCAGTTTCTTCATTTGTAAAATGAGCCAGAGAAGGCAATAGCAAACCATTCCGGCCAAGAAAACACCAAATGGGGTCACAAAGAGTTGAACATGACTGAGAACAACAACAAATTACTTATATTTATCTCAAGCCTTGCAGTAACCTCATGAGGTTTCCACTGTAGTAGTATACCTATTTTGTAGATGAAGAAATTGAGACGCAGGTTAAGTGGATTATTCATGGTCACACAGATGATAGTAGAATAACACCACTAAGTATATCCAGTGAGAGCAAAAAGATAAAACCACCGCCATCAACCCCTATCTGATACATGAGATCCTGTATTTGCTTCAACAGCTGGGCCCCTGCCTTTCCTTCTTGCTTACGTGGGGCAGCATTGAGTAGTATAGACAGGACACTTAGGCTTCATCTTGACTGCCGGTCTATGTCCCTCGGGCATAACGTTTCATCTCCGAATTTCAGTTTTCTCATCTGTAAAACAAATAAAAAGAAAGAAAGAAAGAAAAAGAAATAATAATAAAAGTCACTCCCTTCCACACAGAGCTATTCTGAGGGAAGTGCTATAGAAAATTCTAAAACACTGTAGGCATGTGTGGCGTTGTTATGTGTTGTTATGTAACAATTGATCTTCTCTGCAGTTAACAGTGGGCAGTGGGCTACATAAATGAGAGGAAAGGAAGGGAACAAGCATTTATTAAGGACTTGATATTCACTACAACCCTGGGAGATAGGTGCTATTATTATCCCCATTTTACAGTTGGGGAAACTGAGGCAGGCAGCAGTTAAGTGATTTGCCCAGTATTGCAGAGCTAAGAAATGTCAGAGGCTGGATTTGAACTAGGTCTTCCTGACTCCAGGTCCGACACTCTATCCACTGTTATCTCCTGGCTGCCCTGAATTTATTATTGATAAACACGTCAAAACTAATACATTAAAGTGATTTGTCTCTAACGGGACTCTATACTAATGTGTTCATCTCCTAAAATGTTTTTAGGACTCCACTTTTAAAATAGACTCTTCTAAGCCACACAATGTCTTGTTACCTTATTGTCACAGTCTGGTTGCTTATTTTTCTTTCTTTCTTTTTTTTTCTTTTTTAGGCAATTGGGGTTAAGTGACCTGCCCAGGGTCGCCCAGCTAGTAAGTGTCAAGTGTTTGGTCTGAGACTGGATTTGAACTCAGGTCCTCCTAACTTCAGGGCCGGTGCTCTATCCACTGCACCACCTAGGTGCCCCTGGTTGCTCATTTTTCCAGAAATGGTATTACTCAGTTGGGGTTGCTTTCTTTAATCACCATATTGGGCTTCAAATGATTTTGACCAATTGTCAAATTGATTCCATATTCCCAGGACAGAGATTTTCTACTGATCAGTGTATTCAAAGTTTTGACAATATTGCAATCAATGGAAATGTGATGGGAACAAAGGTGTGTCTTCCCAAAGTTCCTGATTAAGGAGGAGGACAAATCAGCTCAACAGACATTTATTAATTACTTACCATGTGGAAGATACTGTGTGCTAAATGCTGAGGATATGGAGAGAGAACAGTTACACCATCAGGGATGTCCGGGAGTTTATACAGCATGAAGAGCAGAATTTTTTGCATTAAATGTATCTTTATAAAGGTGTCTTTATAAAATGTCCTTCATCTCAGTCCATGTTTAATAATAGGTTACTTACCCATATATCCGATCTGAAAATAACAGTTAAAGAAAATATTAAACTCTTAAGATTGAACCTAGATGTTCTCGGAAGTACAGTACAAAATTCCCTTAACTTCTTTGAAAGGCAAAAGGAAAGGTACAAATTTCAGCTAGGCCACCAGAGGGAGTAGGCCTGATTTAATGAATCAACAAACAGAGACCTGGGAAAGACCTTAGCTTAAAAAGGCCAAGGGCTCCCACTGCATCCAAAGCCATTTCTAGTCATCCTGATCTATATTTGGCCACTGAACCCAGCTGGCTCCAGAGGAGAGACTGAGGCTGGTGACCTTGCACAGCCCTCCCTCACTTAAGTCCAAGTGGCATCACCCCCCAGATGTCATGGTCCTCTTTGAGAATGAAGGACAAACAACAACTGAATGGTCTCACTGAATGACGCCTGTTTCTTAGGTCTTCCAAATCTCCTCGATTCTACATTAAAGGTAATTTTTAAATTGTATATCTCCCTCCCATTTTATTGCTACAATTAGAATAAATCTGCTATGCTCTTTTTCTTAATTTGCAGTAGTTTTTCCTTTTCAAAAGCTTTCCTCATAAAAGGAAGTGACCTCGGGCTTCCAAAAGGCCAGTAATATGAGTGCTGGAGTAGATTTTACCAGACAGGAAAGATATTGACGTTAGATTGCATTAACTGTCTAGGGGCTCAGCATCTCTGAAGAAGTTTAAGGGCAAAAAGTTTGCTCTTTGGCCACAGAGACCCACGCAAAAGCTCTAGTATGTCAGCTTTCCTTGTCGGTGTCTTTGCATATGGCTTGATAGCAAGACATTCAGCAGAAAAGCATCAGGTACTATATGTTCCGATGCTAGGTAAATATTATCAGGAAAGGAGCCTAGATTCCTCACTAGATTTGGTCCTCTATAGATGAAAGGAAGATACCTATTTGCTTTTAAAGAATGTGCTCTGGAGGCAAGAAATTGCTTTTGTAATGTGTTCCATTTTGTCCTGCTGTGGCCCTATTTTTAATGTCATTAAAATAGTTGAGATTTTCCATATATCTATCCTTTTGAAAATAAAATAATTTATTTTCAGTGTTTATCTACCCAAAAAAAAGATATATGTTCGCAATTTTAATTTGGCACAGAATCAATCAAAATAGAATATTAATATTTATCATAAAAACAGATGAACCAGTGGATAGAGCTCTAGCCTTGGAGTCAGGAGGACCTGAGTTCAAATGTGGCCTCAGATACTTGACACTAGCTGTGTGACCCTGGGCAAGTCACTTAACGCCAACCACCTCACCAAAAAAGCAAAAAAACAAAACAAAAAAAACAACAGCAATAAAACAGATAAACCAACTTTCAGATATCTACTGTTTCGGAAATATTGC